GTTTCGGGGCGGAGGTCAGTTTCCATATTTCTGCAGCCCCTAAAAAGAGGCTGGTTTCCTTGTCTGCATTATGAAAGCCTCCTTCTCCTGACAGACGAGAGATGCATCCAGGACCTGTGTCCTCTTACCAGAGATCGATGGAAGCACCTGGCTTTGAAGAGGTTTGGGTGAAGCTGCGTTTTAGTTTCAGGTCTTCATTCTCTAGCACAAGACTGCCCTGCTCTGTGTGGGGCCCAGGGGAAGTGTATAAAACAAGTTGACAAAGTGTTAAAGAAAATATACTCTGTCCTCCAGCCTGAACAAATACAGCCTCATTCACCCAGAAGGCCAGGCTCCAATTTACAATTTTCAGACTATGGGAAGTTTTGTGAACTCAGCAGCGTGGGGAGAAGCATCCCCCCTGCAGATCCCTGATCAGTCCCACCCCCAGGTCCATCCCACACTGTGCGGATCTTCCCGAGTCTACACACACGAGGTCTGTGTCCAGCCCTGCCAACAGCTGTCCCTTGGCCACCGTATGAGTCTGGGGGTACGCACATAGCAGATGGAGTACATTCCCAGGGAAGAGATGCGAGCTATAAACCCAGGATCCTGAGTACCTGGAGAAGGCAGTGCAGACTCCAGGTGGGCACTACCCCATTGCCCCATGGGGAAGGCTGCAGCCAGAGGGATGGCAGAGCAAGGTTCTTTAAAGCTTGGCACCTGGGGCAGGACCCCAGTTCTCCAGGGTCCTGTCATGAGGACTGAGAGAGAAGCTGAAAGAGTATTCGGAGACGGGATTTCTGAGCAATACTGCCCCCTATGTTATCCTTAAGGTCACTTGTGCCTGCCAACTTAGCAAGAGTTCTTCAATCTTACAGCCAGAATTCAAAGGGAAGCGTAATTCAATGCTATTGTGCATTCGGTTTGTCTTACTTTCCCCCTTATTTGCATCAACATGTCATAATGAAAGATATTCTAGGTACAACCATTTCCTTGTTTTAGGGATCTCCTCTGTTGCAAAGTCCTGTCTACCTTTCAGAAATGGCTGCAGGGGTGAGGCTGTGACCACTCAACTACGAGCCCAGGGCGGCCCATACTCACAAGGGGAGACAAAGTATTTCACACTGGCCTGTAAGTTTTTTTCTCCCAAACTACCGTTTTCGTACTTCACTTCCTTACTTCAATTTCTTACTTATTTCATTTTCTTACTTCAATCGGGTCACTTTTTCTAGCCCCCACCCCACCCCCGCAAGTGACTTGTTATCTCAGAATCTGTTGTTCTCTCAGTATTGTCAGGCCGATCTCTCTGTCACACTGAGTGCAAGGGTTGAACCAAGGGAACTTGACTGTCTTCAGACAGGTGAAAGCCTTTGCACCCCCCTCCCCACCCCAGCTGCAATAAACTGCCCCAGGACACTTCAGAGCAGTTAAAACAATGGGTGTCGAATCCAAAACATTCACTCAGGGTCTTGGAAGGAGCCTCGCACCGCTGCCGTGAACCTTGTTCTGAACCGTGTTCTGCTGCCGGCCTCGTTCTCATCAGGCAGTCAGCCCCCGTTGAATCAGCAGCAGGGGTAGAGGAAGGTGGATACCACAGTTGCTTTCATTTTTAGAGGGTTTGTTTTGTTTTTTCTTATTTAAAAGTCGGGGAAGGAAGCGGGAGGGGGGATGAAATGTGAACTCCGTGGAGATGCTTCTCAGCAGGCCTTGTCAGTGAGTTAGGCAGGTGGGGCACGATGGCCACACAGGCCTGGCGGAGAAGGACTGGTGGCGTCTACACCCTTTCTCTTCTTTGGGGATTTGGTAGAAATCAGAGTGGGGTGAGGTGAGCAGTAAGCCCACTGTTGGCATGAGAGCGAAGGTCATGCTGACATCTAAGGCAATGGGAAAAACAACTGGGAAATCCATGCGCTCTGCTTCTGTTGGTGCCCAGTTGTCGAGGTTGGCCTTTGTTGCTTAGTGTAGACAGAGTGAGAGGCGCGGGCCTCGCAAACCCGAGCCAGCCAGCTACGGGGAAGCTCTGTCTATGGGGCCCTGTGTTCCCACGGGGCCTTTCGGTCCAGTTCCACAAAACTGGGTGGTGATTTGGGGCATGTTGGACATGACAGGTATAGACCAGAGTTCAGGAAAAGTCACGAGGCTGTCTGGAGGCTCACTCCTCAGACAAGGCAGGGTGTGTGCCTATCAGCCAAAAAATGATTTAGAGAGAAGAAGTCAGCATATAATATGTCCCACAGAGGTATGAAGCCGGGAAGAAACCCATGTGATGGGGCAAGAGAAAGTTTCTCAAAGGTGCAAAGTTGGGAGGCCAGTGCCATGCCTGACACTGTGCCTTGGCCTCCCCCCTCTCCTTTCGTCTTCACACCATCTCCACGAGGCAGGCGCCGGTCTCCACAGGTGACTGTAGGAAACTGAGGCTCAGGGAGAGCATGTGGCTAGTCCAAGGACAGGTGGTGGTCAAGACCACGAGTGAGGTCCATCTGACTCCTCCTTGACTGGCTGGGCCCCGGAGAAGGGCAGGGTTTGAGCGGATGGGAAGAAGACAGAGCGGATCATATGGCTGAGAACCCAGCCGTAGGTTAGGAGTGAAGAGCTGGTGGGGAGGGGCTTCCCAAGGGAAGAGGGTCTGAGAAGCAGAGGGGAGGGGGTGTGTGCAGCACTCTGGCAGTCTGAGTTTTCCTGCGGGGGCAGCAGCTGGGCACAGGGCCAGGAAAGGGGGGCGGGACACCAAGGTTGGGCAACGAGGCAGAAGCATTATGCAGTGTCAAAGTGGCACCTGGGCTGTGGGAAAGGGGTGCATCCGGGAGGCATTGTACAAGAAGGGTCAGCTGGCTCAAGGAAGGGAAGGAAGAATCAGAGATCTGGGCCTACTGGCTGGTGGACGACAGTACCATAAAAATGGGAAAATTCAGGGAACAGTGGGCTAGGCATGGAAGTCGACTGTTCGAAGAAACAGCGGCCCAGTCTGGTGGCCACATCTAGTGAACACCTAAGTGTCACAGAGGAGTCCAGCCACAGCCAGTTGGAGGTACGGCTCTTGGGGTCACCACAGAGGAGGAGAGGTGAGGGTGAGAATCCAGGAGCCCCCCCCCCCCCAAGGCAGCAAGTAGCAAGTGTTGAGTTTCCCATGGCCTGTGCTCAGGAAGATTTCAAGTCAGAGCATAAACCTTTACCAAATGAAACAGCCACCTTCAAACAAGGTCGTCTAAAGAAAACCTAGCACCTGCATCTGTAGACTATTCTTGAGTCCTCCTCAGACCATGGAGTTCGATATTTTATCACACCAAAGCAGAGCTGATGTCAATGTTCAGGGAGAGGGGTTGCAGCTTCCAGAGTCTTCCGTGGGTGGGTGTGTTTTTAATCAGTGAGAGCAACCACATTTGCATGAACTCAGCCTCGCTCAGGCTGGGTTCTGTTGAGTTCCTTTTATGGGGAATGTATTGTATTTCAAAAATTCTTAACTCTCCTAAAATTTTTTAATTGTTTAAAATGATTTAAGATTCTGTGCAATTACTATTTGTTTTAGCCCACTGATGATTGGATGGACATATATATGTAGGCAGGCAACAGTGATCTCTCTGTTGGTTCTGAGCACGTTTTGACTGGATCAAAGCAAACATTTAGATGTGGAAAAAAAATCATTGGCACAAGATACAACTGAAAACAGTTAAAACTGCATAGAGTAGTTTAGTCATAGATTACAACCATCTAAAGATTTGTGTTTAGGTAACTTTAGGTCAGGTCATTAGATAACATTGAACATAGCACAAAAAAATTACCCAGGCAATGCTTGATGAAAATTTGTTTTTGATGATATAATTCTCTCCAAAATATCTGCATTTGTAAACACCACCTCCAGACATCCTTAGGGTCAGAACAGGGGAATGAGGTTGTCCCTTGGTTACAAGGCTAGGTGTAGCTCTGCCCACTGCTCCACAGTGGCTCTGTGGAGGTTGGGCTGGACCCCAGAGGATGTCAGTGGCTCTGAATGGTTGTATGGCAGGCCTGCAAGTTTCCAGTGGAGGGGTGGGCTTTGCTCTGCTCCAAGGCAAGTGGTGGGACTGTGCCCAGCAGACGGTGGTGAAAGGTTATGACAAGTAGAGAGTGAACACTGCTTTGAGTCTAGAGATAATAGGCTTGTCTAGATGGTTGACTGAGTTAAAGCCTTAATGCCTGTCAAAAGAAGTAGATTTAAATCTGAGGCTGGTAGGGACTCATGGGAGCATTTTTGAAAGTGAAATAATATAGTCAAAACAGTGTGCAGGGAAGGTAGTGTGTGGTTTGGTGTTTTGTTTGACCAAAATAAAAAGGGGGTGCCCACACAAGTGGGCTTTTGATGGGAGTCAGGCCACCGTGACAGAGAAAGGGAATGTGATTCCTATAAATTGTCTAAATTAATATTCCTAGAGTTTTCATGGCCAATTTAAATGGATGGTTAAAAGTAATTTTTTTTTCTTGCCAGCCTTCCTGAGTTTCTCTCTGCCATTCTGTTGGAGAAGGATGGTTGGAGAAACATGACTTGAAATATGTAGGGGGTTTGGGGGATCTACTTAAGTCAACACTGAGGACCATTATCACGTTCACACCAAGAGAGGCCTTAAATCCATATGGGAATCACAACAGAAGACTGAGACAGAAAATCCACCACAGCTAAATTTACAAAGGCAGGTGGTTCTCTAAATGGAGATCACACGAAACAAGGATATGGTGTGGTCTTTGGGGGACCCTCATGGTCATTGGTGGCTGAACCCAGGACCTCCCATAGGTTTAGGATAGAGTTGCGTTGATGGTCATGACCCTGTGTTCTGATGTCGTCATCCCAGCTCACGGGGGTGCAGAAGTCACCCTCTCCGGGGACAGCAGGAGCTCTAGCTATCCCATCACCAGGGAAAGATGTGTAGTAGCGTGTCCCCTGTATCTGTTATCTGTTACGACTACCCTGTTCCTCTCCATACCAGAGGAGCCGGGGCAGGGGGGCAGAAGGGAGGTCATTCACCTTTCCTGTTTCTTCCTTCCAGTTACGTTAGAGCAGTTCTGCCTGGCGGTGAGGAGCTGTCCTGGCCGAGAGGACCAGGCCTTGTTCATGAAGGTAGGTTATCAGACAAAGTACTGATTTCCTTAAAGGCTCGCAACCCTTTCATTGCCCCAAGGAGAGTTTCATTTTTACAAGCAAGAGTAAATTTATCATCCCTGAGTCCCGTGCTCCGCGGGGATACACTTGTCATCGGCGGGTAGGAGGGCTGTTGGTTAATGAGCACAGCCGCCATCCACAGACTGTAGCAAAGTGACAGGAGAGTGGGTGTCAACTACTAGCAGGGATTCTGTTTAATTCTCCGGAGGGCTCCGCTGGTTCTATTTAAGCTTATCTGACAGAATCTTGATTCTTTGAGCAGATTTATGAGGCTTGGCCAAATTCCATGACTCTCACTGTACTTTTTAATTAAGACAAAGGATTTCATATGTTCTGTGTCTGCCACATCCTTACTTTCGTCACCACGGGGACCGCTACACAAATGAGACCATTCCGAGGAACCGCTGGAGTGGGCATCTTATGTCAGAGATCCCTTGCCCTTGAGCGGAAGACGACTTCGCTCTTTCTGGGTAGTGGTTGTTTTATTTCCTTCTGAACGACAAAGGAGCACAGGTGCCATCTAACCTACATTTAGGTTGTACATCGAGGTGAGCCGAAAGTGTGGGAGAACTTGGCTGGTCGCTTGCATGGATTTAATGAAAACTTTGTCTTGGAAGGGCAGAGAGCGAGAGATACCAGCAAGTCACAAAGGCACACAAACACCTTTCCACCAATGACTAAGACTCGTGTTTTCACCTAGAAACTATACTTAGGGTGACCTTGAGACATATGTATTTCCATGACGTCATTTCAATTCTGTACCATCAGGAAACTGTGTGGTTGGTCCAGGAGCGGCATCTCTTACCTAAACACTGTACCAGGTGTCCTCTGACTTTAGAGATGGGTAGAAAAAAATAGGGCGTCACTGTAAGGGATTTCCAACTCATTTGCCTAAGGTGTGATATTTTTGGTCTTATTTTTTTCTAAGCTTTCAGTGATGTTAATTTTATGATCAAGGAGTGCTGATACCGAATGATGGATTTGTCTGGGAGACCTGCTCCACTGGGGGCCTGGGTATGCTACACCGGCTTGGAGCAGCGTAAAGTCAGGCACATGAGTTTTCTTGGTATTTTGAGGTTTTTCGCAGTTAGCCCTCAGCCCCCTGACCTGACACCTATTCCCCAAGGACCTTTCCTCCCAGGTGACAGAAATACAGTCTGTCTTGGGCCCCCCGACACTCACCTCTTGACCCCTGATCACTATTCAAGGGGACAAGGTCACAGAGCCTTTTGACCCTTCCCTCCTCTTCTGTCTAGTGTTGCTTCTCTGTGCTGAACACACTCCTGTGTGCTGCTTGGTACTGCTAGTGACTTGGGATGCCCCAGTGACTCTGAGCTTCTCCATGTCTCTACTGAGAGGGTGGAAAGAATGCCACCAAAATCCTGCTTCTCCTCTCCGTTTCTCACCTTCCTGATGACTCTCCTTCTGCCCCCAGCCTGTCTTCTCTGGAACACTGGCTCAGAAACTAGCAGGTGCAGGCAGCAGAGGAAGGTTAAGATGGCCTAAGTTGTCTTGGAATATGCATGATCGCCAGTGACATTCAGTATGGTCTGTCTTCCCTGTTGGTCTCTGCAGAATGCTCTGGGGCAGCCGAGGACGATGTCTGTGGGAGTTTTCTCAATATCTGCAGGTATTTGAACAGACATCATCAAAGAAGTTTTGCTGAACAAAATGTGTGCTCAGTTCATATATACTGAAACTATTTTATGATTTTTTTTTTTCAGAGGATTGAGGTTTCTAAGGTCACATATCAGAGAGCACTACGTGGGTGTGACAGCGGTGTGTAGGATTTTTGTAGACCTTATGTGGGAGAACTTGCTCAGGGTGACAGGAGATCATTTTGATTACAATCAGCCTGTAGTCCACTATATGTTTACTGGGCTGAGCTTTTCTCTTTGAAGATGATCTGCAAAGAACAGTATTTAATTCAACTTCGTTGGGTGAAAAGTTGTTGGAGGCAAAAACCATAGCTCTGGTTTTGTTTTTTGTTTTTTGTTTTTTTTTTTTAATGATATTTACATACAATGCTGTTGTATTCCTACATTGTCAGAGATAACTGAGACCTGGGGACGGTTATTCCATTCAGATCTGTAAGTGTGCTCTATACTTAGACCTCAAGAAGATGCAAGGGTTGAACTTGTAGCTAAGCCAAGGTCAGATACCTGTTGAACCAAGGTCAGATATCTCTGGAAAAACAGAGTCAGGGTCTGAGACTTTGGAGGTGGCTGAAACAAAAGCCTTCACTGGACAACCAAGAAGAGTAGGGGAGAGAGGAGAAGTGACTCCCCACCGTCACTGGTTAGTAGACAACAGAACTGGGACCAGAAAGCCAGGTCTCTGGAGCCTCAAGCTGGGCTTCTTCCTGGGACCTCCAACCAGATGAGTAGATGCACAGAAAAGTCTACCACCTCACCCCCTCCACCACACAAGAGCCGCATGGGAGGTCACACTGCAGTGAAACCACAAGATCGCTCTTGTGGCTTGTCTGGTAGAATCATTCTTGTGGCTTGTCCTTAATCACACCCCATTTGCTAAGAGCGTCATGAGACAGAAAGGAGCTGGTTTCTCCATGACTCAGTTTCCTCGTCTACCAAGTAGAGGTCAAGGCTCTTCCTGACTTAGGATGTTCCCACCACTGCAGCCCTGTTGAGGGGCTAAGAGAGAGGTGCCAAGGGATAAGACAGTTGTCTTTAGGTCTTGCTTTTTCGTGCGATTTCACTACAATTTGAACCAAAGTAAAGAATTCAATTCTAGAAATTACTTATATGACCCCATTCACGTCCCTACCTACCTGTTTCTTCACTTGCTCTTAGTTCTCCTGGCCAGTTAGTCTCTTTGGTCCTCTGCAGACCCACGCTCCAGCCCCACAGTCACTCCTGCCCGGCCTGTCTGAACCTCACGTGTCTCCGTCCTCCCCTCATCAGCCTCAGATCCATGGCACAGCCTGTGACTCTCCCGGCTCTGGGGCCGCCATGTCACATGCAGGGCAGTATTAACCCCCCATAGCATCTTTCAGAACCATCCCTCTCCCTTTCTCCCAGAACAGAGCACCTGGGCCTGACCCTCCCAGGGGCAAGGCTGGTCCCCACGCTGCTGGGAACCAGGTGTGATCTTGGACAGGTCCCTTCTATCTTTTAGCCCAGTGTCCTATTGTTGTGAAAGAAGACATGAATTAGATGACCCCCAGAGATGCTGCCAACATCCACATTCTGCAAATCTACTCCTGGATGTGTCCAGCAAGCCTGTTTCTCTGAACATGCTTGAGAATGGGCTGGCATCCACTGCCTGCCTCTTTCCTTCAGGCTCAGCAAAACCAACTTTCCTGGAAACCCCTTCCTACTTGTCACTATTCTGGATTCATTTCCAGCCATAGCTCGAGCATGCTCTCTCTCTCTCTCCTTTGGCATAGGGTGATCATAGAACCACTCAGCCGAATCAAGACTTTTTTGAAAGGGAAAGGGGGAACCAATGAAAATTAAACATGGGCGGCCGGCAGAGACCACGACTGTCCCAGGAAAACCAGGGCATTTGGTTAGCCTGTTTTTGAATCAAATCCAAAATCCCTCCCTCAATCAAATGGCTGAAGCTTGCCTCCTAAGTCTTCACTCTCAGAGTTGGTACAGATGCTCCTTGTACCCATTCCCCCCAACAGTGGTCACATGTTAAAAATCGTGCCCCTCTTTCGGTGATGGAAATCGGCAGGAAGACAGACCTGTTGCCGCCTCTCTGCATTTGGACCTTCATTTTCTAAATCAGACGTAAATCATCACACTTCCTCATTCTGTCCTCCAGGGAGTTTCTTACACACCTGGCAGCAGTCATTTCCAATTTGGGTAGGAGACAGCAGCCCCAGCGAAGAGCCTCACTGGGACAAAAACTTCCTGAGGCAGTGGCCTGCTGTGCCTCCCAGCTTCCCTTGGAAAAGCAGGAAGGATTTTGGGGGGAAAGTGGCCATTTCCCGGGAAATGTTTCTCCCCCCAGATCAGGAGACAAGAGCTCGTTGGAGAAGCTTTGGCTGATCTGTTCGAACTGGAGCAAAGCAGTAGAACCAGCCTTCGCCACTCCAGTGATACTGAGCAAGTGCCTGGAACATTCCTTGCCCTGCAGCCTGGCTCAGCCTCTCTGCCTCAGGGCTTGGGCCAGAGGGACTGTGTGAAGTTCAAGGTAGCCCCTTCTGCACCTCTACTGTAGAAAGTAGTGACAAGAACGGAGCTGCCCACGTGAAAATAAATAGCACATCTTGAATCTTGGCTCCCCGAATAGCAGGCCTTCAGCAGATGTCCTATCTGCTGGCTGCCCGACTGCCACGTCCACAGGCCCATCAGAGTCGGTGGGCACAGCTGCCAGGTGCTGAGGTCAAAGTCGAGGTCGAGAAAACCTGCCTAGACAGTGCTCCAGGGCGGCTCCCCAGACCCGGTGTATGCTGGGCTGGTGGGAGTGCGGCTGGAAGCTTCCTTAGCATTTCTTACCAGCTACCAAGTATGAAGGCTGCCCCTAAAAGCACAGGGGAAAGTGGGCAGGTGTGGACAGAGGGATGCCCAGCCTCCCTCCCCCACGTCCCTTCAGCACTGTGCCCCGCCAGATCGGGCCCTTTCTCTGTCTGGTGATGTGCTAGCAAATGGGACACACTTGAGCCCTTCTTGAAACCAGAAATTGTCAATTGAACCGTATGACCCAACCCATCAGTCCTCCCAGTTTACACAAATACAGCTCCTTCCCAGAAACCGGTGTTTTCTCCCAGCCTGATGGGGTCCCGGCCTGGTAGGGATGAGGGTTTACCTTAGCACTGTGCGCTGAGGAGAGAGGGGATTTTCCACATGACCGCTCCACTGACTCACCTCCCCTCAGAAGGTTTAGAAACACCCAGCAGGCTGGTTATCTAGTGTTCTGAAGTTGTCATTGTCACAAAGATTCTTTCTGCTTCACTTCTCCCCCCGCCCCCCCCCTTCCCCCCCCCC